GACCATCTCCTGTACTGTATCTGCAGTCTCTGACCCCCTCCTGTAATATGTCCGCAGTCTTTGACCGCCTCCCGTAGTATGTCTGCAGTCTCTTACCATCTCCTGTAGTATATCTGCAGTCTCCCAGCATCTCCTGTAATATGTACGTAGTCTCTGATCATCTCCTGTAATGTATTTGCTGTCTCGGACCATCTCCTGAATTATATCTGTAGTCTCTGGCCATCTCCTGCAGTATGTCTAGTCTTTGATCATCTCCTGTAGTGTGTCCGCAGTCTCTGGTCATCTCCTGTAGTATGTCTGCAGTCTCTGGCCATCTCCTGTAATATGTACACAGTCTCTGATCATCTCCTGTAGTATGTCTGGAGTCTCTGATCCTCTCCTGTAGTATGTCAGCAGTCTCTGATCATCTCCTGAATTATATCTGCAATCTCTGACTATCTCCTATTCAATGTCTGCAATCTCTGACCATCTCCTGCAGTATGTCTGCAGTCTTTGATCATCTCCTCTAATATTTCTGCAGTCTTTGACCCTCTCCTGTAGCATGTCCAAAGTCTCTAACCCTCTCCCGTAGCATGTCCAAAGTCTCTGACCCTCTCCCGTAGCATGTCCAAAGTCTCTGACCCTCTCCTGTAGCATGCCCACAGTCTCTGACCCTCTCCTGTAGCATGCCCACAGTCTCTGACCATCTCCTGTAGTAGGTCTGCTGTCTTTGACCCTCTCCTGTAGCATGTCTAGCACTAAATAATATGCATGTCATTTTGATGTGTCAGGGGCTGCAGTTGAGGCCCCCAAAATCTCATTAATTGACCATCACAACAATGTGTATACACCCAATTAGCTGCTCTGTTCACATACAGAGAGGTGGTCAAAAGGCAGTTCTCTTTTGAGCCACTCTAAGATGCAGTCTAGCCATGCCCATTCCTGTCTGTGGCATGCATAGCAGAACTTATTTATTAGTTGATTCAGTTGAAGTGTAAACCAGGCAAATTACTGGGGTATTGTCAGTGTTTCCATATTATATTTATACTGTTTAAAATATCGGTTGTCTTTCAGTAAATTTTCTATGTTTTGTCAGTGAAAAATATTGCAGGAGTTTGCCAACCCTGGCCCCATGAAAGGCTCCTGGTACCTTTATTGGGTCACCAACTTTAAGTCTCCTGCCACTCCGTTGGACAGCATAGTCTGGTTGATGTTCCCATCGCACAGTCTCTGGTTGAGGACGTAGTTGTCCAGGTAGTCCTAGCGAAGTCCAGGCAGCAGCTGCTGTAGTCCAGGTTGATGGGAGAGTGGCAACTCTCCTCAGGAATTACAGGGAAAAGTTCTGTCAGGGGAGAGGAGGCTGAGTGCAAGGAGATGGAGGCTCCTTCTGAAGTGAAATTATGGATGGAGGCTGTGCCTGAGATGACAGAGGCTGTCTATGAGGAGATATGAGGAACAAAGACTGTCTGTGAGGAGATGGAGGCTCCTCTGAGCTGATATGAGGGATGAAGGCTCCTCTAAGGTGACAGAACTTATCAACAAATATTTCTACATACAGAGGCTCCTATGTGTCCTGTCACTGAACATTACTACTCCTCCATGTCTTGGCAATATGGAGGTGGGGCTTTGTGTGGGTGTGGCTTGGGCAGAGACACTGATGGCCCTCATGATCTCTTATTGCCCAGGGGTCCCATGAGTTGTCAGTCCGTCCCTGCTCTCACAACATTGTCGTGCACCAGGAGGAACCCAAGACCCACTGCACCAGCATAGGGTCTGACAATGGGTCCAAGGATTTCATCCCAATATCTAATGGCAGTCAGGGTGCCATTGTCTAGCCTGCAGAGATCTGTACGTCCCTCCATGGATATGCCTCCCCAGACCATTACTGATCCACCACCAAAACGGTCATGCTGAACGATGTTACAGGCAGCGTACCATTCTCCAGACCCTTTCATGTGCTCAGGGGGAACCTTGGTAAACCTGCTCTCATCTGCTCTCAACCTGCTCTCATCTGTGAAGAGCACAGGGCGCCAGTGGCGGACCTGCCAATTCTGGTGTTCAGTGGTAAATACCAATTGAGCTCTATGGTGCCGGGCAGTGAGCACAGGGCCCCACTAGAGGACGTCGGGCCCTCAGGCCACCCTCCTGAAGTCTGTTTCTGATTGTTTGGTCAGAGACATTAACACCAGTGGCCTGCTGGAGGTCATTTTGTAGGGCTCTGGCAGTGCTCATCCTGTTCCTCCTTGCACAAAGGAGCACATACCAGTCCTGCTGATGGCTTAAGGACCTTCTACGGCCCTGTCCAGCTCTCCTAGAGTAACTGCCTGTGTCCTGGAATCTCCTCCATGCTCTTGAGACTGTGCTGGGAGACACAGCAAACCTTCAGGCATCATGGGGGAGTTGGACTGCCTGTGCAACATCTGTAGGGTCCAGGTATCGCCTCATGCTACCAGTAGTGAAAAATGCAAAACTAATGAAAAACAGTCAGAAAAGATGAGTATGGCACTGATAGGCAGCACTGATGGGCAGCACTGATGGGCACTGATGGGTGGCACTGACTGATAGCACTGACTGGTGGCCCTGATGATTGGTGCCGATCCGTCCTCTGACAATTGCCAATTATTGGCAGTACTTTCCTCACGCTGTGATAGGGTAAGGTAAGTGCAGCCCATAACTGCCAACTGCATTTACCAGTGATCCGCTGCTGTTCATTGGACACAGCTGATCACGTGGTAAAATGCTGCTGTGATTGGCCTTTTACCACATCATGTGATAAGCTGTGTCCGTAAGACACAGTGATCATGGAGATCGCCAGGGTGCGCACCCCTGGGAGCGCGCGGGAGGGAGCGTTCTGGGAGGACGTCATAAGACTATAACTTTCACACATACTAATTAATATACACTGATTTGGGGGGGGGGGGGTTTAACCAAAGAAAAGTAGCAGAATACATTTTTGCCTAAATTTATGCAGAAACATTATTTATTTGCAAAATATTATAACAGAAATTAAGAAAAATGCCTTTTTTGTCAAATTTTTTGGTCTTTTTTTGTTTATTTAGCAAGTAATAAAAAAAACCCAGTGGTGAATTAAATACCACCAAAAGAAAACTCTATTTGTGTGGAAAAAAAGATAAAAGTTTTATCTGCATGACTGAGTAATTGTCATTCAAAGTGTGAAAGCTGAAAATTGGCCTGGGCAGGAAGGGGGTAAAAGTGTCCGGTACTGAAGTGGATATACTGTAGGTAGGCTGGGTCTAGAAATCCCGGGAACAGAGCAAAACTATTGAACCCTTCCCCATCCTGCTCCAGACGTCTGCCTAGTTGATGCCTAATGTAGGCAAATCTAATGAACCCTTCGCCATCCTGCGCCAGAAGTCTGCCTGGCTGATACCAAATGTAGACAAAACTATTGAACCCTTCCCCATCCTGCGCCAGACGTCTGCCTGGCTGATACCTAATGTAGGCAAAACTAATAAACCCTTCCCCATCCTGCTGCAGACGTCTGCCTAGTTGATGCCTAATGTAGGCAAAACTAATGAACCCTTCCCCATCCTGCGCCAGAAGTCTCCCTAGCTGATACCTAATCTAGGCAAAACTAATGAACCCTTCCCCATCCTACACCAGAAGTCTGCCTAGCTGATACCTAATGTAGGCAAAACTAATGAACCCTTCCCCATCCTGCGCCAGATGTCTCCCTAGCTGATACCTAATCTAGGCAAAACTAATGAACCCTTCCCCATCCTACGCCAGAAGTCTGCCTAGCTGATACCTAATGTAGGCAAAACTAATAAACCCTTCCCCATCCTGCGCCAAAACTGATACCTAATAGGCAAAACTAATGGAACTTCCCCATCCTGCGCCAGAAGTCTGTCTGGTTGATGTCTAATGTAGGCAAATCTAATGAACCCTTTCCCATCCTGCGCCAGAAGTCTGTCTAGTTGATGTCTAATGTAGGCAAATCTAATGAACCCTTCCCCATCCTGCGCCAGAAGTCTGTCTGGTTGATGTCTAATGTAGACAAAACTAATGAACTCTTCCCCATCCTGCGCCAGAAGTCTGCCTAGCTGATACCTAATGTAGACAAATCTAATGAACCCTTCCCCATCCTGCGCCAGAAGTCTGTCTGGTTGATGTCTAATGTAGACAAAACTAATGAACCCTTCCCCATCCTGCGCCAGAAGTCTGTCTGGTTGATGTCTAATGTAGACAAAACTAATGAACCCTTCCCCATCCTGCACCAGAAGTCTGCCTAGCTGATACCTAATCTAGGCAAATCTAATGAACCCTTCCCCCCCATCCTGCTCCAGACGTCTGCCTAGTTGATACCTAATGTAGACAAATCTAATGAACCCTTCCCCATCCTGCGCCAGAAGTCTGCCTAGTTGATACCTAATGTAGACAAATCTAATGAACCCTTCCCCATCCTGCGCCAGAAGTCTGCCTAGTTGATACCTAATGTAGACAAATCTATTGAACCCTTCCCCATCCTGCGCCAGAAGTCTGCCTAGTTGATACCTAATGTAGACAAAACTATTGAACCCTTCCCCATCCTGCGCCAGAAGTCTGCCTGGCTGATACCTAATGTAGGCAAATCTAATGAACCCTTCGCCATCCTGCACAAGAAGTCTGCCTGGCTGATACCTAATGTAGACAAAACTAATGAACCCGTCCCCATCCTGCACAAGAAGTCTGCCTGGCTGATACCTAATGTAGGCAAAACTATTGAACCCTTCCCCATCCTGCGCCAAAAGTCTGTCTGGCTGATGCCTAATGTAGGCAACCTGCCTACGTGCAGCATAGCCAACGGGTATTGCAAATTGCAAAAACAGATTTCTCTAAACCTTTATGCTAAATTACAGGTAATTTGGTGATTAGCAGCCAAAAATCTATAAGATGCACCAAAAAGTATTGAGGAAGCAAAATCTTTGTTATCCAGTGTAATAAGTATTATTTTTGTAACGTCTTTTTTTTTTTTTTTTTTTTTTGCAGAATGGCTATGAAAAATGACACAATCATCAAAGAATTTATCCTTCTTGGACTCTCCAGTAGTCCCAATATACAAATCATACTTTTTGTGATATTCTTGATCATGTACATGATTATTTTGAGTGCAAATTCTCTTATCATCTTGGCCACGGTCACTGACAGCGCTCTTCACACTCCCATGTATTTTTTCCTCACTTATCTATCTATCTTAGACATCTGCTATTCATCCACACTTATACCGCGGATGCTGAGAGATATGTTGTCAGCCAAAAAGAATATTTCCTTTGCAGAATGTGGTACACAAATGTCCATGTACATAGCTCTTTCGTTGGGGGAAACAGAATGTGTTCTTTTAGCCATAATGGCCTATGACCGCTATATAGCAATTTGTTATCCTTTACACTATACTTCGATCATTAATAGAACCTTGTGTATCAAGATAGCTGCTGGAACTTGGATTTGTTCATTACTCCTATCTAGTGTTCCTGTTGCCCTGGCGTTTAGTGCCGATCTTTGTGGAAATAATGAAATTAACCACTTTTTGTGTGAAATACCTGGAATCTTATCATTGGGATGCGGGAATTTTAAAATGGTTGAACTTGTGATTTTTGTTAATAGTATCATTGTTTTAATTATACCCATTAGTTTTATTATTGTTACATATTTTAAAATACTAAGAGCCATTTTTAGAATAAACCTTTCTGCTGGACAAAGAAAGGCCTTTTCCACATGTGGCTCTCATATAACTATTGTTATCTTGTTCTATGGCTCAGCTATAGCTACTTATATGAGACCTCAATCCTATGGATCTCGTGATGTAGATAAACTTTTTGCCATCTATTATGCAACAGTTATACCGATGTTGAATCCATTGTTTTATTCACTACGGAATAAGGACGTTAAATCAGCACTAAAAAAGGTTTTGTGTAAACATGTATAGCAGTGCTGGGACAAGGTCATCCAGTGCTCAGGGCGAAGGTGGCAAACTGTGCCTCCCTGCCTGTTGGAAGAGTGGATGGGGCTAATAGAGGCGTGCACTCAGAAATGTATTTAATGTTTTTGGCATGGGCTGAAATAATACTAATGTTTGTGGTAGGGACAAAGACGGGGCTAACAGTGGTGAAGGAATTAATGTCCCAGCATCAATGGTCATACTCTGATCTCTTCTGCTCAGCTCACATGTGACAGACCACGAGAAGAAGGTGGGCCAGGCACGATCTCAGAGGCCAGATGCATCACCATCCTGCCCACTCAAACTTAACTGCAGTACTAGTAGAAAGCAAGGAGGAGGCAGGATCCCCCTTGGGGATGTTTCTCTGCAGTCCTCCATGAGAGGCAGGAGCACCTGAAACTGCTGGGGGAGATGGTAGGGGGACGGGAGTTATCTCGATAATATGAAACTCATCTAGGAATGCTGGCAACTATGAGTGATTAGGGTGTGCCTAGGCACACCTGGCACACGCTGTGCACATGCCTATGCCCAGCATCATTGGTATCACTTGAAGGAAAAATGTCCCTGCGTTGTTGGAAAAAAAATGTCTCTGTGTTGGTGGGGTGTCAGGAGCATCTGGAGCTCCTGATCCACCATAGCTACTGGTCTCATTCCAGCATCCTAGTTTTAGCTATGATGCTTTCTCCCTGTCTGTCTGTCCACCTGCAAGGTGATTAATGTGGTCAGTCTCTGGGTGGAGACCAAATCTGATTTAATCAAGCCAAGCCTGCAGTCTCATGCTTGAGATATTGCGTTTGTAACAAGTGCTGAAAGCTCCCTGTTTATCTGCCCTGCTGCTTAGATTTCCCTGTTGTCCTGGGGGTAACCAAGTACTGGTAGGCCTGCTTGTCTTATATTAAAGGAGGCTGCTATAGGTGAAGAACACAAAAGCCAGCTATAGTGTCTGACCACCTGTATTAGGGGGAAGCATGAGATGGGGGTCACTGGAAGGGTAGTTTCACTGGAAAGTGAAAATGTTCCTATGTTGGTGGTATCACTGGAAGGAAAAATGTCCCTGTGTTGGTGGTATCTCTGGACGGAAAAATGTCCCTGTGTTGCTGGTGTCACTGGAAGGAAAACATGTCACTGCAATGGTGGTATCACTAGAAGGAACAATATCCCTTTGTTGGTGGTATCACTGGAGGAAAAATGTCCCTGTGTTGGTGGTGTCATTGGAAGGAAAAATGTCCCTATGTTGGTGGTGTCATTGGAGGGAAAAATGTCTCAGGGTCAGTGATGTCAAGCCGAGGAGGACTGCTTTGGCATCTATGTCAGTGGGATGAAGGAGGGGAGCCGAGAGGTGGGTTTCTGCAGAGTTCATTGAACTAAAGAAGATATCTGGGGGTGGGGGTTCTGAGGTAGAGAGGGGGGTGAAGAGCTCTAAGGAAGGGAGGAGGTAAAAGGGCTCTTGGAGATATTCTGAGGAGGAGAGGGGAGTTCTAGGGCAGAGTTCCCCCTCCCCCCCTTTGTACTCATAATTCAGACCTTGTGACATGTCTTATGTCAAGAAAAGACAGGAAGAAGAACAGTCTGCCTTCATTTCTCATCAGCACTGCGCTAAGACTGAGCTGTGTCCTTGGCAGGGGTCCATTCTCTTCTGCCCACAGTACTTCTTTTGAAGGTAGAAGAGAGCAGAATCCTCCCTCCAGCAGCAATTAAGCCCCCTGCTCCTTCTGACAGGAGTGACTGTCAGGAATGGACTTGCCAGTAATGGTGGGACTCACCTGCCTTGTGGGCTGCAGTACCAGGGCTGGCCAGCGGGTGCTCTCAGCAATCAGAGACTCAACCCTGCAGTCAGCCAAACACCTGAAGCTGATTACGGAGGTGTATTTAAGGGATGGCCAGACCTGCAGTCTGGGCCTTGGTGTGTGTTTTTCCATGGGCCCCTGTATCTTGTTACCTGCATTCCTGTTCCTGCCTGACTGACTTGTTGCCGACCCTGCTTGATCCTGACCTCTGCTGACTTCTCCTGTTTTATCCCTGGCTTGTGACCCTGACCATTCTCTGCCTGACCCCCTGTACCTACCTGCCCGTTAGTTGCTGTACCCGGCTCGTGACCTGACTACTCTCTGCCTGCTCCTCCTGTTCCTACCTGCCCGATTGTTATTGACCCGGCCTGCCTGACTACGCTTGCATTGTATGTATTGTTATCTGTGGTGGCTTGGTTTGGTTCGTTTGCACTTTGTTTATGTTTTAATATTGCACTGCGTTTTGTATTGTTAGTATTAATAAATTATATTGTTTATAACATATCTGAAGCCTGCGTTTCCCTGCGTCAGTTCACATACCTCTGGTCATACCCGGAGCCCTGACAGTGACACTGCAGTCACTCCTGTCAGTGAGGCACAAAAGAACAAAGCCCAAAAATAGTTAGGAGATCAGATGCATACTCTGAGACAGCGGTTTAAAAGAGAACCAACTGCGGTGTAATGAAGTTAAACAGCTTTATTGAGATCAATATAGATAATAAGGCCAATTGGCCAACAATCCTCCATTCACCATTAGAACAGAAGAACAAAGCAACTGAAGCTCTCAGTGTGTCCCCTCTCCATAAGTCAACACTTTGCCCACGGCACGTGCCCTCATCATTGTTCCAGCTCTGATTTATTGCATATTTTGAAAAACAATAGTACTGCAAACATCAAAGTTGCCAACATAAGCCTAAGAAAAAAAATTGTGTTGTATTATCTGGAATACATTATAAGCTTTTCTACATGATGTATACCTCACCTCACATGATGTATATCTCACAAAATCTCACACATTAATGACATCTAGGCATTGGGAATTAGATATCATGCAAGCAAAGATAGAAGTGAACTAACTTATGCTAATGAACCAGCCCAGAGAACCAAAAGTTGGGGACTAAGGCTCAACAGTTATATATAAATGTCTCTAGAACTAAGTGAGAAAATAAAAGACTCTTTACAGCCCAAGATTATTATAAGGATGGGGAAAATATATTCAATACAGTATATTGGTTATGACAGCCAAAGCACAAGCAGGTTCCACCTATTTTGATGCCAAATCCTCTATATCAGGACAGATTCTCACTTACACCCTCTATCCCAGTGGTTCTCAACCTGTGGGTCGCGACCCCTTTGGGGGTCAAACGACCCTTTCCCAGGGGTCGCCTAAGACCATCGGAAAACACATATTTCCGATGTGTACAGAGCAGCTACTGTGTAGAAAGCAGCTGCTGTGTTGAAAGCAGCTGCTGTGTTGAAAGCAGCCGTATTGAAGGTAAAACGACACATGAATTATAATTACTGGGTAAAGAATTTTAAAGTTGGGGGGTCACCATAACATGAGGAACTGTGTATTAAAGGGTCGCGGCATTAGGAGGGTTGAGAACCACTGCTCTATCCTATGGGAATCCAAACAGTTCTTAAATACTAAAAAAAAAGAAAAAAAAAAGTCACTTATAACCAAGACCCCCTTGCCCAATTTTTACAACGTGCTTTTGTACCACGTTGAAGCAGATGGGCTATGTGGAATCCACCAATTACCACTGTGGAGCTACAAAATGCAGTGGCAGAATCCTCAAATAATAAAGCACCAGGGAATGATGGTTTACTTATTGATAGTTATTAAAAGTATGCAGAAGCTCCTGGAGCTTCTCTTTATGTTACTAGAGGCAACAAACTGGGGGCGCTACCCACCTCAACAAAAGAAAGCCCATGAATAAATCGACAATAACAGTATTACCAAAACCAGAATAGGACCCATTACTACCCTAATCTTATAGGCTAATTTTGCTATTTGCCACCCATGGCCAGTGTCGTCCAGGTGTGGCTATCTCGATCTAACGACACAGAAGTTCTGACAAAGGGTTGCACCCAGATTAGGGATTGGATCATCCTGTTGTGCGCGAGCTGCTGGAACTATTTGTATAACCTGGTGATGGCCATGACTACCTAGAACGAGATTGTATGTATACAGTCATTATACAGCCACAATGTTTGGCACTGGGACTTTTGGATATGTGCACGGCTTTAGATCCAACAAATTGAGCAGATTCCAATTGATTACCATGGTATTTGAACCGTCCTATGACTAGATGCCTCCAAGGAATTTAAAACATGGATTGGCAATGCCTCCTTCAAGTTCTCTATACTTTTGATGTAGGCTACAACTTTATTACTTGGATTCAGCTATTGTATTCAAACTCATTGGTTTGTGTCTGATTAAATAGCCTCTCAGAACCACGCTGCTTGCAGAGGGGTACCAGCCAGGGGTGCCCATGGTTATTTGCCCTGGCTATTTTGCCCTTAGCTTTTATTGTTCATTCAGAGGCAAGCGTTGCTGGTTTTTGGAGGGCTGATATTGAGGAATAAAATTGTCTTAAATGCCATTGATGCACTATTTTTTTTGGACACCTCTGCAATTGAAGCACCAACATTTCATATTCCTGATATGTGTATGGTGTACCATGTACTTCTATTAAAATGTATCCTTTCCTTTTGCATTGCTTCCTTGGAAAAACATGGTGATCCTTCCAGTCCCCCTGCTTTCCTTTTGCAAACTGACCATGTTAGGCATGAGGGCACATCTATCCCAGTTTTGTCAGTTTTTTGGCTCTGTTGGAAGCACAGCCTGCCTGTCCTCCAGTGGCCAAGACATGTGCTGATCCCTCCCCCCCTTGCACAGCCATTCCCTGGGAAGATCACTGTACCACTATTTCTCCATCCCGATCTCTCTAATCCTCTTTATCAGCTGAGAACAGAGATTATGTGATTATTTACAATAAAGAAGAGACAAAAAGCTTGGGGGGGGGGGGGGGTGCCCTTAACCTGTTGGGCTTTGGGCAAGTTATCCTTCCAATGTTGAAAGGCATGTGTCCTGGTATGGTAGAGCAAAGGGGGCGCATGCTCACTGCCCTCTCTTTGCTAGCCACCAAGGCTGCAAGCTATTAGATAATTCTTCACATACACAAATGTTTTGCTTTT